TTAAGGACACGGTTTTATATGGTTTTGTCTGGGAGAGCAACCTTTTCTTTCTCGTGAGCTTAGTCTGAAATCAGCAGTCTGAAATCAGCCGTCTGAAATCAGCTTCGTCTGAAATCAGCTTCGTCTGAAATCAGCAGTCTGAAATCAGCATAGCCATGATGCCTGCCACTCCTGAGTGGCCAGCCTGTGCGTTCTCGTCCTGGTACAAGGAAAACAAGAGTGGCAGTGCCTGGGGTGCAAGTAGGAAAATCGGTGCAGAGCATTCGGGCTGCTGCCGCCTTACGGGACTAAAGTATCCTACAACCTATAGTATAGGGACCTTAGTCCTAAAGTTCAGACAGACTCGGCTAGCAAAGCCCTTCTCAGCAGCGGCGGCGAGCCGCTGATTCAGCACGTTCCTGGGTTGCGGGGAAAATGGTGAGCCGACTGCTGCATGACATGAGTTCGCTGCATGCAGCACTAGGAAGCCATACTATGAACACATGGCCTGCCGCTTCTCGCTTGATTGAGCACAATTGAAAGGTAAGTTTTAGACTAGACTGTGAAAGCGCGTCCCGACCAAATCCATGAAACAAGGCAAACAAAGCTTGGACAACTTCTTGTGCATGGGCTGCCTATCAACATTCTTCCTGCTGGGCTGCCTTGCCTAGTCTGCAGCGGAGACTTGACTGCCTTTGGCCGTCTTCCTGGCGGGCTTTGACTGCTGGCCTTACCTGGCCAGTCTTGGGCTGATTCTTTCCTCTGGCCTTACCTGGCGAGTGTTGGGCAGAGATCCACCCAAGGCTGCAGAGCAGGCAGCGACGGCCATGAAGGTCTCGAAGGTTATGAAGAAGCCCTCCCAGGCCATGTATTCGACGGCAGCCAGTGCGAAGGCTGATAAAGACAAGAACAACAAAGAGAAGAAGAATGATGATGACAAGAAGAATTTTGATGACAAGAATAAAGACGATGACAAGGCCATCGTCGCGAAGTTGGAGGAGCAGGTGGCTAGCCTCCAGCAGCGAATGTCGAATGCTGAAAGCAGTGTGAAACTGCTACATGGTGTCACTTTTTCAATGGCTCGACGAATCAGCCGTGGGCTCCCGATGAGTGAATCCAGCGACAATGACGAGAAGAACGTCATTGTCGGCAAAGATGAAGACAATGACGTCCACGACCATGCAGAACCTAGTAGCATATGGAACGTGCTGGAAAAGGGGCAAATTTTTTGAGAAAGATGAAGACGGCTCAGGCCAGCCGGCTCCAAGAACACCTGAGTGGCCATCCCGGCACACGTGAGTAGATGTAGAACTGCAGCAGCAACAGACAGCAACATCCACACACAGACACAGCACACAACACACAGCAACACAGCACACAGCACGCAGCATAATACCGCACCGCGGCACACAGCAGCCTGCACCGCAGCACACAGCACACGAGGGGTGATGTTGTTTTCACGGTCGGGCTGAGTGCGCTATTAAGGATTCATATAGGGCGACATTACTTTATATTCTTTTTGTGAGTTCTGAATACATAGCCTGGGCATAGGCCGGGTTATAGACTAGTATTTCCGAATACTGACTAGATTCGGGGGGTGCATGCTCGGCCCAACTGAGTTTTTGGAAGATGTGCCGGTGAGTTTTGGAAAAAAGTGCGGGGTGATCGGGGTTTTAGCTTCCGGGTTTTTTGCCTACTTCCTTCCCGCTTCCCGGTAGTCAGGGTACATTAGGGTTTATAGTGGGGTTTAAGGACCCGTTTTTGTATGGTTTTTTCAGGGAGAGCAACCTTTTCTTTCTCGTGAGCTTAGTCTGAAATCAGCAGTCTGAAATCAGCCGTCTGAAATCAGCTTCGTCTGAAATCAGCTTCGTCTGAAATCAGCAGTCTGAAATCAGCATAGCCATGATGCCTGCCACTCCTGAGTGGCCAGCCTGTGCGTTCTCGTCCTGGTACAAGGAAAACAAGAGTGTCTAGCCTCGGAGAATTTGAGGTTTTTTTTCGTGTGTCTTGATTTGATTTCAATGAGATGGCAGCGTTTGGGGCTTACAGATTTCGTTGTTTCCCTGCTGCCTTCATTGTTGAGATGGCTGTTGTGGCTGTGGTGTCAGCGTCGTATCCGAACATTGAGGCGGGATCCAGGTATTTCAGCTTTCATGCGTCCTGTGGTTGAAATGATTTGCAGGCTGTGCCCATGACTGCCAGATTGTTGATTGGCAACGAGAAGGCAGTTCGGAGTCGAGGTCCCAGTTTTACTTCTTTGGACATGAAGGTGATGTGACCGAAACGTGGATGTCATCTGTGTCTATAGACCCTCTGAGGTGGCAATGAGTTTGCATACAGGAAGCCTGAAGGTGGCCTGCCTCTGTTGGTCTGTGACACGAGGACTGTCTCAGGCCTGGGAAGAGCCATGTTAAGTCACATGTGCAGTGTTTCAAGCATGTAGTTTTCGTTGTTTATTTGATAGGAGAAGATGGAAAAGTAATGGTTTTGGCACCCACAGCGGTTGCGACCTCGGTGGGTGTGTCAGCTGAGACCCTTGAATGTGTATTGAATGAAGCCGTGAGCTTCACTTTAGCAATTGATCAGTTGTAGTTCTTTTCAACCTTTCCTGAGGACGGTCATTGGTTCTGCTGGGAGGGCACTTGGAATGAGGACCACACCGACGTGACAAGAGAGAGGGTGTGTTTCCGTTGCACAGACTCAAATGTGCTGAATGGAGGGTATCACAGCTGGCAGATTAATAACGCCGACGAGGGCCAGCCTCCAGTTTGGTCGGAGTGGCCGATGGTTTGCAGATCTCACTGGCAATAAGTGACAGACAATAAGTTAGTGTGACAATAAGTTTTCATTGGGATTTTTAGAACTGACTGTCGGGAGTTTTGTTTCGTATATGTTTTGCACATCAGCAGTCTGAAATCAGCAGTCTGAAATCAGCTTTGTCTGAAATCAGCAGTCTGAAATCAGCAGTCTGAGAGTTGCCGTGTTTGAGATCTGCTGCTGGCAGTGCGGGGCACCTGTTCGTCATGAAGGAAACAAGGTTGTTTCATTGTTAGTTTGTTTTGGGTTGCAGGTCTGTAGTCGGAGATTGTTTTGTTCTTATTTGTCTACTTGGATATCATGCAGGTGACTCGTTTGTATCTTCCCGGATTGATCCTAGCCTGCGTGTTTCGCGAGAGGTGACCAGGAAAATGCAGACAGGGAGACTTGACTCTTGGTTTCAGTTCTCTGTGAACCTCTGATGTGGTTGGTCAGGGTGCGTGACTCCATTGGCTCCAGCATCCAGCTCAATGGGACTGAATTCCAAAGCAAGTCTGAAATCAGCAGTCTGAAATCAGCAGTCTGAAATCAGCATAGCCATGATGCCTGCCACTCCTGAGTGGCCAGCCTGTGCGTTCTCGTCCTGGTACAAGGAAAACAAGAGTGTCTAGCCTCGGAGAATTTGAGGTGTTTTTTTCGTGTGTCTTGATTGATTTGATTTCAATGAGATGGCAGCGTTTGGGGCTTACAGATTTCGTTCTTTCCCTGCTGCCTTCATTGTTGAGATGGCTGTTGTGGCTGTGGTGTCAGCGTCGTATCCGAACATTGAGGCGGGATCCAGGTATTTCAGCTTTCATGCGTCCTGTGGTTGAAATGATTTGCAGGCTGTGCCCATGACTGCCAGATTGTTGATTGGCAACGAGAAGGCAGTTCGGAGTCGAGGTCCCAGTTTTACTTCTTTGGACATGAAGGTGATGTGACCGAAACGTGGATGTCATCTGTGTCTATAGACCCTCTGAGGTGGCAATGAGTTTGCATACAGGAAGCCTGAAGGTGGCCTGCCTCTGTTGGTCTGTGACACGAGGACTGTCTCAGGCCTGGGAAGAGCCATGTTAAGTCACATGTGCAGTGTTTCAAGCATGTAGTTTTCGTTGTTTATTTGATAGGAGAAGATGGAAAAGTAATGGTTTTGGCACCCACAGCGGTTGCGACCTCGGTGGGTGTGTCAGCTGAGACCTTGAATGTGTATTGAATGAAGCCGTGAGCTTCACTTTAGCAATTGATCAGTTGTAGTTCTTTTCAACCTTTCCTGAGGACGGTCATTGGTTCTGCTGGGAGGGCACTTGGAATGAGGACCACACCGACGTGACAAGAGAGAGGGTGTGTTTCCGTTGCACAGACTCAAATGTGCTGAATGGAGGGTATCACAGCTGGCAGATTAATAACGCCGACGAGGGCCAGCCTCCAGTTTGGTCGGAGTGGCCGATGGTTTGCAGATCTCACTGGCAATAAGTGACAGACAATAAGTTAGTGTGACAATAAGTTTTCATTGGGATTTTTAGAACTGACTGTCGGGAGTTTTGTTTCGTATATGTTTTGCACATCAGCAGTCTGAAATCAGCAGTCTGAAATCAGCTTTGTCTGAAATCAGCAGTCTGAAATCAGCAGTCTGAGAGTTGCCGTGTTTGAGATCTGCTGCTGGCAGTGCGGGGCACCTGTTCGTCATGAAGGAAACAAGGTTGTTTCATTGTTAGTTTGTTTTGGGTTGCAGGTCTGTAGTCGGAGATTGTTTTGTTCTTATTTGTCTACTTGGATATCATGCAGGTGACTCGTTTGTATCTTCCCGGATTGATCCTAGCCTGCGTGTTTCGCGAGAGGTGACCAGGAAAATGCAGACAGGGAGACTTGACTCTTGGTTTCAGTTCTCTGTGAACCTCTGATGTGGTTGGTCAGGGTGCGTGACTCCATCGGCTCCAGCATCCAGCTCAATGGGACTGAATTCCAAAGCAAGTCATGTTTGCTTGTCACATGTTTGTTTCTTTCAATATGAGTTTCACGTCTCAAATCCGCGTTATGGGAAATGAACTTGTCAGAGATCAACCTTTTGTTGCAGGTCAGCTTGTTGACTTTCAAGTCTGAAATCAGCATTATGGGAACTCAACTTGTCAGAGAGCAACCTTTTCTTTCTCGTCAGCTTAGTCTGAAATCAGCAGTCTGAAATCAGCTTCGTCTGAAATCAGCAGTCTGAAATCAGCATAGCCATGATGCCTGCCACTCCTAAGTGGCCAGCCTGTGCGTTCTCCCGCGAGGATGCGGAGAGGTTTTGCGAGATGCTGGCCGCAGCGCACGGTCCAGCCTATGTGGACGACACATTGAACGATGTTTTGCAGAAACTTTTTCTGAAGGCCTTGAAGGATTATGAAATGGATGAGAACACAAGCAACGGTGGCTTGCAGTCATCTCTCTGGCAGATTCGGGATTGTCAGAGTTTGGAAATGCTGCCATCGCTTTGTCAAAATATCCATGATATGAAGATCGCGAAGGAGAGTGAAGTCAATAAAAGCAATCCGACAAAGGCAGTCGAGATTAGTGGAAAACAAAAGGCAGGAAATTACTATCTCTCTACCACTGTCAATGGTCGTGGTTGCAATTGTGCCGTCAAGTTTGGAGGTGAAAAATGGAAGGAAACCCAGGACAGCAGTGTGCGTCCTTGCGAAGCGACCATGGAAGGATTGGCAATGCAGAGATGGGTCGTGGATAAGTTGCTCAAGAAGGAGTCCTGGTACAAGGAAAACAAGAGTGTCTAGCCTCTGAGAATTCGAGGTGATCTTTTTTTTCTTATGCTTTTGTTTACTCTGAGATGAGGTTCTTCTGAGATTGGTTATTCTGAGATTGGCAGTCTGAGATGAGCAGTCTGAAATCAGCTTTGTCTGAAATCAGCAGTCTCACGTCGTTTTTTCTTTGTCTGTTTAGTTGGTTGTAATGTCTCTTTGTTTCCAGGTTTCAACATCTTCATGAACCGGTACTCTTATGCCACCGACCATGCCATTTCAATGCACACCGATGCGTCCAAATATTATGATGAGATTGATCCGATCACATCGCTTTCAATGGTCCTGGGATCATTTCTTTTGATCCAAGCGAAGCAGGCTAAAAAACGAGGCAACAAGCCGAGGTGGTGTTTGGTTGTTTACCAGCCGCCTGGCTCCATGCTGATCATGGCTGGGAAGTTTCAATCGCAGTTCGAGCATGCAGTGCCTGCTTGGTTGGACATGAAGGAGATTGCCCATGCGGAACAAAATGCTGAGTTTCAATTGACACGCGGTGGGCAGCAAGAGAATCTCAGACTCCTGTTTGTTGGGCAGGCGAAACAACAGATGAAGGATGAAATTGAGAGACTGGAGAGTCTCAATTTGAACGAGACTCACAGGTGGAATGTGACGGTGAGGTGGATAAGACGCCATAACGAGGACTGTCCATGTCGTGGGAAAAAAGTTGAACTAGTCGGACCTGAGATGCTGAAACCACCTGGAAAGGCAAGGACGCATGAGGGATCTGCGGGGTCGAGTGCCAAGTTACCTTGGGATGCCAAGGCAGCAGCACACCAGAGACAAGAGTTTAATAAAGGCAGGCCAGGAAGTGATGTGCGGAAAGAAAATGATGGTGAGAGGCCAAGTTTATTTGCAGAGCCAGCTTTGGTTGCCACGCTGGAAATGGCGATTGACATGATCACTGTGGAACCATGGCCGCTTTTTTCTGCTTCCTTCTGTGGAGACTCCGGTGTGAGGAGACTGGTCCTAGTTCGGCAGAGATGTTATTTTGTTTTGTTTCCATTCTGACAGCAGACCACTGTAACCTGAGGCCAACCTTTATTGTTTTAATGGCTTAGGGTACTGTGAAAATATGCCAGTGTTTTGTTATTCGATTGAATCCATCGGTAAGGCAAGCAAGATATAACGGCATTGGGGAGCAGATCGCAAGTTTGCTTGAAATTGATGCTTCTCTCAAGGAAATGGTTGAGAAGAACAAAATGTATCCTCAGCAGAGTTTAAGCGTGCAGCGGAAGATCGTGGAGAAGTTGCGCAAGTTGAGGAGACAGGCTTTGCTTTTGGACTTGCTTTGGTTGTCGACAGAGGGACCTAGTTTTGTCGCTGCGATCGACCAAGTGGCTGTCGAAGTTCCAGGCAAAGATCCAAAGCATTTGACAGTGGTTCAGATGTCTTTTCGTATGTTCAAGGTACTCCTGGATGAGCACCCCATTGATGAAGACTGCCTCCAAGAACATGGTCTCGTGTGCTTGGACTTTTCTGGTCTGCGTGACGATGTTTTGAGCCAAAGCGCGAAAGATAAAAAATGGGATTGGATGACTTTGCAGGGAAAATATTGCATCGAGTCATTCACAGCCTATGTGTTTGATGATTCTGCACCGTCGGATAGCATCAGTATCAGGACCAAACTGACTTTTCTGCAACAGCCTTTGCGTGATGTGGTCCGGATGGCTGAGTCTGAGTCAGGGCCAGAAGAGTCCCTGACAAGTGCTATGCGGTTGGAGAAGTGGTTCGATCTTTATTTGGATCAGATCTGGACACATGAAAGCTCCCAACGGGCTATGTCACCAGACGGTCGGTTGATTTTGTGGATGATACCTCTGCAAACGAGACTCACCTACCTCGGCTCTAAAAGAGCGAAAACAACATGACTGCACCGAAAATCTGCCATTCTGAGATCAGCAGTCTGAAATCAGCAGTCTGAAATCAGCAGTCTGAAATCAGCTTCGTCTGAAATCAGCAGTCTGAAATCAGCAGTCTGAAATCAGCAGTCTGCATTTCTGTCATTGCAGTGGAGCAAAGCTGAGTACGAAGTTTGCTCAGCACATGCTTCAATGGATGGCCACCTGTTCTTCTTCTTTTTATTATTTTCATCATCTTTATTGTTAGTACTATTCATTAAGGTGCCTGCATCATAGAGCCATCAAGTATCGTTGATGCCGAAGCCTCACTTCTTCGGCACGGTGTGGCTGTGATTGCCGTCCCGGATGCACGGCACGCTTGCGAGTGAGGGCAAAAGAGGGATCTGATTGGCACTGTCTGCCAATCCCGTAGGCTCCATGCATGCAAGGCTTTTACCATGCACACTGGCCAGAGGCAGGCTGTTTTTCTTGCAGTTAGTCTGGAGCTGGCATTTCGAGTTGTGCTGCACAGAGTGCCGGCAGCCGCAGGCATCAAGCTCCGTTCCAAGTCATGTTGCAAGGGCAAGCTGTAATGCATGATCGAGAATGCAGGCAGACTCGCAGTGCTTTGCAGAATCAGCCTTATAGAAAGGTTTTAGCGATGGAGGGCCAAGACAATGCACTCGTCTCCAAGAGATTCTGCCGTGGCTTGGCGGCCAGTGTTTTCGTCATGTGCAATCTGGAGCTGGAGGATGTGCGAGCCCTTGCTCGGAAGGGCTTGGTCGATTTGGCACACTGCATTGGGCACATGCAGGAGCTGACCGTATGGCAGGAGGTTGCGGAGTTCTTGTCTTTTTGGGCTGGGGTCTTGTCAGTGGCAGTGCCGGCTTTCTCGAACGTAGATGATTCGGGTAGCTTTGCATGGCCTGCTAAGTTTCCTCCGGTGGGCAAGTTTTTCGTGGCACCTCATGAGAATCTTCCGGTTCCAAAACTTTTGGAAAAGTTCACGATCGAAGAAGAGGGAGACATGTTCAACGGCCTTGTTGCTTCCATCGACTTGGTGCAGCAGCTTCTTGTTCACGTCCCCGAGGAGCTGAGCGACTAGACCCATATAAAGTGCATGCACGCATCTGTGTGTGTGTGTGTCTGTCTGTCTGTCGCATGCTTGCATCTGTTTTTCTTCTTCAATCCCAGCAGCTAAACACTGCAGGCTTTCGTGTGGAGAGGCTTGCCGTGCACATGACGGATATTCTTTCTGTGGTTCACATGCATATTCAGATGCGGAAGCTGCAACTTCTTTCGTGGCTTGCCGATATTATAGCAATCCTGGGCTCACATGTGTTTCAAACATCGAATGAGTTAGACTCCTGCACTCAGGCCGGCGGAGAGAAAGAAGTTCACGGATGTGATGGACAATTTAATGATGGACGAGCAGACGAATTTTGCTTCAAACTGCTTTATTCATGTTGCCGCTTTTTGTGCTATCCATCCACACATTTGTGGGTGTACTGGCTGGCTGCTATGTACTTAGGAAGTGATTGGTTCATGGATGTGTGCTCGGAGCTGCATGCCGTGCCTTGGCGACTTTGCTTGTCCGCCTGAGTCTTTGTCGTGCATTCACAAGCAGAGCTTTGCTCTAGCGAGGTTGGGTATATCCGTTGGCCATGCTGCTCTTGAAATCCTTTGGCTACGCTGCTTCTTGGCAACTCTATTGAACCGGCTGCTTGCATGATATTTTTGTCCTAGGTTCGCCTCCTGGGCAATTTTGGCTACCGACGATATGGTTTTCCTTATTGGACAATTTTGGCTACCGGCGATATGGATTATTGGCTTTCGGGTGCAGACCGGCCTCTGTATCTTTGCTGAAAACCGTGCGGAGCACTGCGATCACAGCATTCGATCGACTTCGATAGTCATGTTCAGGGCTTCGGGTTCACACTGCGATAGCCTGAAATCAGCAGTCTGAAATCAGCTTCGTCTGAAATCAGCAGTCTGAAATCAGCAGTCTGCATTTCTGTCATTGCAGTGGAGCAAAGCTGACTACGAAGTCTGTTCAGCACATGGTTCAATGAATGGCCACCTGTTCTTCTTCTTTTTATTATTTTCATCATCATTATTGTTAGTACTATTCATTAAGGTGCCTGCATCATAGAGCCATCAAGTATCGTTGATGCCGAAGCCTCACTTCTCCGGCACGGTGTGGCTGTGATTGCCGTCCCGGATGCACGGCACGCTTGCGAGTGAGGGCAAAAAAGGAATCTGATTGGCACTGTCTGCCAATCCCGTAGGCTCCATGCCTGCAAGGCTTTTACCATGCACAGTGGCCAGAGGCAGGCTGTTTTTCCTGCAGTTAGTTCTGTTTTCGCAATGGCAATGGCAGCACATTGGAAGCCCAGTCCAGCATCTTGACTCTGGTGCTGAGGAGACGGTGGCGGCTGAGAGTGCGGCAGCAGAGCCTGTGGCGGCGTCTCGACTCAACCCCAGGCCTTTGCTAAGTAGGAGAAAACCCTTTACTCAGGATCCTGTGGCTTCCAGTGCTGCACTGCCCTATGATTTGAGTTGAGGGTTTGAAATTCACGTAGACCTATGTACGGCATGCACCTTGCTTGGCATCCAGGTGCCGCATCCTGATTCCAAGCACAAATCCTATGGGAAATTACAATTCGCACCCTTGTTTTTCTGGGATTCCAAACACAAATCCTATGGGAAATGACAATTCGCACCCTTGTTTTTCTTGGATTCCAAGCCCACAAATCCTATGGGAAATGACAACTCGCACGTCGTTTGGAAATACATATCCTATGGGAAATTACAATTCGCACCCTTGTTTTTCTGGGATTCCAAACACAAATCCTATGGGAAATTACAATTCGCACCTGTGTTTTTCTTGGATTCCAAGCCCACAAATCCTATGGGAAATGACAACTCGCATGTCGTTTGGAAATACATATCCTATGGGAAATTACAATTCGCACCCTTCTTTTTCTGGGATTCCGAACACAAATCCTATGGGAAATTACAATTCGCACCTGTGTTTTTCTTGGATTCCAAGCCCACAAATCCTATGGGAAATGACAACTCGCACGTCGTTTGGAAATACATATCCTATGGGAAATTACAATTGGCACCCTTGTTTTTCTTGCATTCCAAGCACAATCCAAGCCCACAAATCCTATGGGAAATGACAACTCGCACGTCGTTTGGAAATACATCCTATGGGAAATTACAATTCGCACCCTTGTTTTTCTTGCATTCCAAGCACAAATCCTATGGGAAATGACAACTCGCACCCTTGTTTTTCTTGGATTCCAAGCCCACAAATCCTATGGGAAATGACAACTCGCACGTCGTTTGGAAATACATATCCTATGGGAAATTACAATTCGCACCCGTGTTTTTCTTGGATTCCAAGCATTCGCAGCCTTATTTTTCTTGGATTCCAAGCACAAATCCTATGGGAAATTACAATTCGCACCTTGTTCGGAAATACATATCCTATAGGAAATTACAATTCGCATCCTTGTTTTTATTGGATTCCAAGCACAAATCCTATGGGAAATTACAATTCGCACCCTGTTTGGAAATACATATCCTATGGGAAATTACAATTCGCACCCTTGTTTTTCTTGGATTCCAAGCCCACAAATCCTATGGGAAATGACAACTCGCACGTCGTTGGGAAATACATATCCTATGGGAAATTACAATTCGCACCCTTGTTTTTCTTGGATTCCAAGCCCACAAATCCTATGGGAAATGACAACTCGCACGTGGTTTGGAAATACATATCCTATGGGAAATTACAATTCGCACCCTTGTTTTTATTGGATTCCAAGCCCACAAATCCTATGGGAAATGACAACTCGCACGTCGTTTGGGGGAAATCAATGGGAAATTACAATTCGCACCCGTGTTTTTCTTGGATTCCAAGACAAATCCTATGGGAAATGACAACTCGCACGTCGTAAATACATATCCTATGGGAAATTACAATTCGCACCCTTGTTTTTCTTGGATTCCAAGCACAAATCCTATGGGAAATGCACATTCCAAGCCCACAAATCCTATGGGAAATGACAACTCGTTGTTTGGAAATACATATCCTATGGGAAATTACAATTCGCACCCTTGTTTTTCTTGGATTCCAAGCCCACAAATCCTATGGGAAATGACAACTCGCACGTCGTTGGGAAATACATATCCTATGGGAAATTACAATTCGCACCCTTGTTTTTCTTGGATTCCAAGCACAAATCCTATGGGAAATGACAACTCGCACGTTGTTTGGAAATACATATCCTATGGGAAATTACAATTCGCACCTGTGTTTTTCTTGGATTCCAAGCCCACAAATCCTATGGGAAATGACAACTCGCACGTTGTTTGGAAATACATATCCTATGGGAAATTACAATTCGCACCCTTGTTTTTCTTGGATTCCAAGCCCACAAATCCTATGGGAAATGACAACTCGCACGTCGTTGGGAAATACATATCCTATGGGAAATTACAATTCGCACCCTTGTTTTTCTTGGATTCCAAGCACAAATCCTATGGGAAATTACAATTCGCACCTCCTTCCTATGGGAAATTACAATTCGCACCCTGTTTTTCTTGGATTCCAAGCCCAAAATCCTATGGGAAATTAAATACAATTCGCACCCTTGTTTTTCTTGGATTCCAAGCCCACAAATCCTATGGGAAATGACAACTCGCACGTCGTTGGGAAATACATATCCTATGGGAAATTACAATTCGCACCCTTGTTTTTCTTGGATTCCAAGCACCTATGGGAAATGACAATTCGTTGTTTTTCTTGGATTCCAAGCCCACAAATCCTATGGGAAATGACAACTCGCACGTCGTTTGGAAATACATATCCTATGGGAAATTACAATTCGCACCCGTGTTTTTCTTGGATTCCAAGCCCACAAATCCTATGGGAAATGACAACTCGCACGTCGTTGGGAAATACATATCCTATGGGAAATTACAATTCGCACCCTTGTTTTTCTTGGATTCCAAGCACA